AAGCCAAGGACACCAGGTAGAGGGGCTCACCATCCTCCCTCGTCAAGATAAACTCGACCGCCATGCGCGCACGTTCTTGGATGGCGCAGTAATATTAATATTCCTCAGAAGCTCCGTCTGTTCAATCAGCGGCCTCCTCGTCGCCTTCTCGGGGAGTCGATGCCATCGAGCTCTGGGTAGTCAGCGGAGCGTCGAACGGCATGAGGGGAAGTGTGCGATGGCGCGGCAGTCCCGTTGTCTGGGCGGGCAAGATGGAGGGAAGTGGAAAAGACGCGAAAGATCAACCAACTATCGATGTGGACACGTGACCCATCAAACCCAAACAAGACAACATACATTTTCAACACGATGGTCATAAACCAGACAGGCGAAACAGGCCGGCAGGTCTGCTCTCAAGATGGACTTGTTTTCTCTACTTGAACGACGTTGTCAACAGATGTCGTGCTATGACGCCAACCGTGGGAATGGGATGCCGATCTGGTCGATCAGCTTACTGCGAAGCTGGAAGCAAACCGGGAGCCCTGGAGATATTCCTGGTCGATCTGGGATACTTGAAACTGGATTCTATTTGCCCTTTGCAATCCTTGGGAGGAGATGAACCGAAATTGAACCAAGCTCGGGCGGATGGCCGAAGCTGATCAAGCGTCCATCGGCATCACTCGGCTAGATCGCCCGAAACGGATTTTTCACTCTCTGTGTTTACCAATCACCATGTTCTCCTCCTCTTCCGCGCCCAACCTCGTAGCCGTCGCCGATGCTCCCCACTTCCAGTCCTTGCTCTCTGCCGACCTGAACCGCGTCTCCTTGCTCAATTTTTGGGCCCCGTGGGCCGCTCCATGCACCCAGATGAATGCGGTCGTTGCAGAGCTGGCCAAGAAGCACCCTAACGTCCTGGTGTTGAACATTGAAGCGGAGGAGCAAGCGGACATCGCGGAATCGTTCGACGTCGAAGCGGTCCCTTCCTTCGTCATCTTACGGGTATGTCTGCTTTGCACGACCATATGAATAGCGTTCAAAATTTTCGGCGCAGGGACACGCCCTTCTTGCGCGGATCGAAGGGGCGGACTCGCCTGCTCTTACTCTGGCCGTTGCGACGCATGCTGCTGGCCCTGTCCCCACGTACTCGCCAAAGTCGCAAACTAACGTTGCCACGCCGGAGGAGCTCTATGCGCGGCTCCAGCGGCTCATGACCCAGAGCAAAGTCGTCTTGTTTATGAAGGGCAACCCGGCAGAGCCTCGGTGTGGGTTCAGCCGCAAGATTTCGGCGCTGCTGAAGCAGCAGGGTGTGGCGTTCTCGAGCTTTGATATTCTGCAAGACGAGGATGTCCGACAGGGTGAGTCGTGTTTACTTTATTTTGCTTCTTCGCTCTCCGGATCCGTGGTATCCGAAAATTGAGGCTGGAAACATTCCTACCTTGTACCACCGACTATCCGGGATTCCCATCCAATTCAATCTCGAATCCAATTCTCCTCCCTTCACGCTTTCCCCGTGAAATATTCTCCGCTATCCGGTGCTACACACATCTTTCTATCGCGTCTCCCTGCCCGTGCTCCTTGTCTGACTATTTCACTCCCAGGTCTCAAAAAACTCAACGACTGGCCCACCTTCCCGCAGCTCATCGTCAACGGCGAGCTCATCGGCGGACTCGACATCGTGCAGGAGATAGTCGAGACAGGCGAGTTTGACGAGCTCGTCGGCGCAGCTTAGCACCCTTTCCACTGGGTCACTGTACGAATCATAGACATTTTGTTTTTCTGAACTTCACCCGTGTTCAATTCCCACCGTTTTAGCGCCGCATTCGGACAGCGCACTTGTAACACGGTACAGGCTCGGTGGTGGATGGTCCACACTGGTATAAATCAAACGAATAAAATCATCATAATTTCTACGAGAGATGCCCGTTCGATTCGGGCCAGGGCCATTGGACGGTGCTCCGATTATTTCCCGCTTTTTTCTCTGTTTCGCGAGCGTGTGCTTCATTCCGAAGATCGGATGCAGCGTCGAGAATGGGTTCTCACCCCAGCTGATGATCGAGAACCTGGTCGATTCAGCGTGGCTCGTAAGTATCTCGAGTTGTGGACTACCCCACTCGCTTTCAACTCACTCCATCCACCCATGCAAAGTTGCATCGATGTTATCCACGAACAAGCCGAACCCTACATCGGCTCGGTGGTAGGCAGTTCACCCTCGCGGCAGCTGCAAACACTCGGCCAGCCTGGTGGTGAGTGGAGCCCGTTCGATTCGGGCCCGAGCTATGTGATAGATAGTTGCTTCTCTTTTTCTCTTTTTCCTTTTTACGGTTTTGTAGTTCAATGACAAATGGATGCTATAAACCAACACACAGCGGAGCTAGTGATCCCATAACTATGTGTGCCGTGCATTGGCAATTTCAACAGAACGACCCGCAGGTCCAGTCAAAACGGTCTGGTAAGCTCAGGGACAACACATACCCTGTATCAGCTCGGTGGTGGACGGTCCACACTCGCAAAATCTCGTGTCAAGTTTGCATCGTACATGCGAGGGGTGCTCGTTCGACTCGAGCCCGGGCATTTGAGTACTACCTGCTTCAGGGAACATTTTTTTAGCTTTCGCGTGGGGCAAGGCCATCGGCGCACGCCGCTGAGCATGAGCTGTGATTCTGTTTGAATCGGGGCGGGAGAGTTTTCTGGTTTCCCGCCGAGAAAAATACTATTCAGGGTGAGACTTGCAAGATGCGATTCATCGTTGGCGACGTCTGGTGTGGATTTATTTAGTGTGAATCAAATTCCCGGCCGCAGATTGAGAAACGAGGACTGGATGTATGACGAGAAATCCCGTCATGCAAGGCGCGAGCAGACGAGATACGTGGTTGAACTTCCACTGCTCAATGTAAACTGAGGGCGTTTGAGTGCGAATTAACATTCGATTTCTCACGTTGAAGGACAACGCAGGCCACCTCGTATCAATTTCGCTGCGAGAATGCCGTACCGAGGACGGCGGTTCGACTCCGCGCGGTGACATGGGCCCGCATACTTTCACGTTTTTGTACATGGGCTCTCAAGTATCGGCAGGCCATATGCAATGCTAGTCATAGAACACATTGATAGTGTCTCTTTCCTCGTTGCAAATGCACAAAGGTTCAAGCGGAGTCTAAGAGCAGATGGGTGTGGTAGAGCCGGCGACGTGACCCTTCCCCCTAATTTTCTTTGACCAAACTTGTCAGCAAAAGGACCTACCATACAGTCTCCGTAGGCGATAATTCGCATTTGCTGAGTACTTCAACCTTTACGGGCGTGGTTCAAAACGGCCGTGAGAAAGATCAGTGGCGGTGTCGTGTTCTTCCCCCGTTGCCGAAGCGGCATCCCTTTTCTTCCCAAGCACTCACATCGGCCGTCCTTGTTTGTATACTCTGGCAAGAACGGCGCCGACACTTTACTCTGGGCTATCTATGCGCTCTATGTACACTGCTAGCAAGAGTCTGGGTCGAATCTGTGTCAGGGAGTCTCCGTCCTCAAGTTGCAAGCTCATTGTCCGCGAGTGGCACAGGACGGCGGGAGTCGAGCGAGAACAGGCGCAGCGGCTGGAGAGGAACGAGTTTCCCGCTCCACAGACCCTTTTGGGTGTGTTCTCGTTCTTTATGCCTTTCGGTATCCCTCTCTGAAATGGCAAAGCAGAGTCTGTCGCTCACTTTATTCCTGTTCGACGTATGGATCCCTTCCTCGCGACGGGCTCTGCAGCTACCTCCGCAACCTTTGTTAATCCACACACTAGCCTTCTAGCCCATATATCTCGTCAATTGCCGACATACTCGGTCAGCTATTACCGCGGCTTCGCATCTACTGCTGTGTGCGCCAAGGCTGAGGGAGCAGAGCCCACCCGCCGCCCGCGCGGGCGCCCTCGGAAAGACGCCCTGCACTCTGCGCCCCAGAGCGATGCGGCCGCCGGACGCCCGAAAGGCCGCCCTGAGCGCGGGACCGCGTCTTCTACTACCGTTGATACACCTAAGAGAGTGGAACATTTCGATGGGCCCCCCACCCGCCGACCGAAAGCACCCACCCGCTCTCTGTTCTATGAGCGCGCAGACGACCTTCTCCGGGACGACCTCGACGAATCCGACCAGGAGTCGGAGGATGAGTCTGATTCTGATTTCATGAAACGCGATTGGGTGGCTGCCTTGGCGGACGACTTCCGCTACTGTCCTCCGGGTCTGGAGGTCCACCTGTTCCAGTACCGCTATCGCCACAAGCTGTTGCGCGATGTCGAGCGCCAACGCGAAGAGGCACGGGAGAAGCTGCGCGAAGTTTTGGAAGAGCTGGACGAGGACGAGCGGCGTTTGACGGTTAAGCTTGCGGACCAGGGCTTCTTGCAAGCGCAGCAGCGAGCGAAGCTCATCCGGCTAGGCATAATACGGGAGGACCCGGGAACAGGTGCTGGGGAGCCCGACAGTGGAAGCTGCGGCGCCCGGTGGAAGAAAGGACGACGGCCGCACGAACTGTCGGACACAGCAAAGAGTCTCTTGGAAGGTTTTTGAAACACGGTCTCTTGAAGTTTTGGTGCAATGACGAACCGGCTGCTACTACTACGTTCAATCAAAACGCGAGAGGCGGGTGGACTGTCTGGTTCAGAGACTAACCAGCTATCGCTTTGTACCGGTAAAATGTACAGACCGGAGGACTCATCTATCGCGGCTTGGGAGGCCGAAATTCAGGATTGCGTAGGCTCGAACACAGCCGGACGCCCAAAAACACAGATTTGATGACAGCCGATCAAAGGCGCTTGCGCATTGATCGACCGTCATCAATTTCGTGTTTGCGGAAAACGAGACTGCTTCGAGTCTAAGGATTGCGCGACGGCGAACGTCCATCTTGATATGGATATCTTCACGAAAGTTATGGGAGAGGCACCCGTTCAACACGGTATCCAGTACACACTGGTTATATTTTCGCATGGTTCAACCAACAAGCCGCTTCCCTCGAGTCAAATTTCCCAGTAAATCCAAGAACAGCAACTACCCCACAATGGCTCGGTGGTGGAGGGTCCATACTCGCGTATGGTAGCGGGATCGTTTGAGTAAATTACTACCATGCGAGAGGTGCCCGTTCGACTCGGGTCCGAGCCATGCATAAGGCGACCACTTATTCTACCTGATGGCTCAAAAACGAAACTGGTTTGCTTGAATTTCTTCAGACTTCCTAGTTCCAAGAGCACAACCCACACTCACGCCAAATGTGACCAATACTATATACCTTTACACGTCCTTCTCATTCTATTCGCCTAGGGTGTTGCTCCACGACACAAGACGCGCCTCTGCACGATGTGATACGTTTGATAGCACTGTCCTTCTGCCTGCAACGAACTCGACACTATTGTGTTACCATCTCCTAAGGTATTCGTAGATGTAAACCCAACATGAAAGAAAGTTTCAAAAAAGGAAGAATATTGTGTTCAATGCCGGTGTCGCCGAGTCTGTTGTGGACTGCTGCTACCCAGCCGCCTCAGCGATGGGAATATCGACGATACTGAGTATACCGCGCTCTGCGCACCGTGGTAAATTTCGTTTTAGTGCGGCCGCGATAGGTAAAAAGGGAGCGGCCGTCGCTGCAAGCGCACCAAGATACTGCCGGAGGTTGTGGAGGCATCTTCTTCGTCGCCGGAATACAGCTTCTTGTGATCGTCCGACGTCAGGGTACATATGTACATCTCAAAGCAGGTCAATCCTTACCTCGAATCCCTGTGATAGCCAGTGGTTCGAGACGTGCAGCAGCTGGGCTTTCGAAATACGCGTTGACACGACACCATCGAAACATCGGTGCCTCACCAAATCCACCCGGTGCAGATTTGTGACCTGCATCGGCGGCGTATCCAAAGTGAGAATCCAATCTATGAGCAATGGTCTTGGCAACGTGGATCGTTATGCAACCGTGGGGGAACATACGACGCACAGCTGGCTGGTGGATGACGAAACCTGGGTACCCTTCTACAGTGAGCGACTCCAGGACGGGGAAAGCACAGATATAGCCAACGCTGTCCAGGTGGATGTCGTTTACGCTGAGCTGCAGGTTGAGGTGCTTGAGCGAGGATGCGAATGCGGGAGAGCCGTAAAATGGACGCGTGAAATGGTTCAGGCAATCCAAAGTCAACCACGTTGGTCGGAGACCACTGCTGGCATTCAAGCGGGTGAGGATTTCCAGCGCGGAGATAATCGGCTTGCGTTTTGTCCGCCCATCTCGGCGATGCGAAATGTACAACTTGGTGATGCACGTAATGAAGGTCGCGCCGGGGGAATCAAGAAGGGAGAGAAATCTGTGAATTTGCGGAAGCCCTTCCAAATCGGCTGAGAGAGTGACGGATGAGAAACAATGGTATCTGCTTCTCGGCAGCCATTGCTTGGACACAAGGCTGCAATTCAGCAGCGTAGATTCGTCCCTCTGAAGCTCATCTATCACGGACTCTACGAGCTCCGCAGGGAAGTTAGCTATGCCCATGGAAGTTGAGTGCAGCGATGATAGTAAGGACCAACTTTGATAGCGTCTGATCTGGACTCAAGTCTCAGAACAGGCTCGAACTTCCGTATTTATATCATCGACAGCCCGCTCGACTCTCGGGTCTGACAAGAGTCCGAGCCATGTTCAGAGAGGAGTGATCTACTTATGTCAATATTTTTTACTATGGTTGAATTTTTGCTGAACCTTGGTTGAACCTTCGTAGCTGATGCTTCCAAAGCCTTAACTTCCTTTGAATTCGAGGACAAACCCTATCACATGTAAGCTCGGTGGTGGACGGTCAACAATTGTACGAGTTTAGATCGTGGCATGGACTCTGCGAGGGGAGCCCGTTCAATTCGGGTCCGAGCCATGAAATGAGCATGTGGTTCCTTTTTATTTGCACTAACAATTGGACGGCTACCGTACAAACTCTCTAGTAAATTCAACAACACAGTATAACATATATCAGCTCGGTGTTCAGACGGTTTATGGAGTAGGTTGAGTTTCTGCGAGAGAAGCCCGTTCGACTCGCGTCCGAGCCGTGGTGTTCAGTCATTTTTTTTAGTATGTTTAGCGATGGCCCGTTATCCGGACACTGAATAGCCGACAGCTTGCCAGATTTCGTTGCCTCACTGCAAGAGTTTGGGTGGTGTGAGGGTTTGCAACCAAGAAGGTGCGACAACGAGGAGGGTTCGTTCGCTTCAACAAATCCGAAGGCTTTATTCACTCAAGGAAGCTTGACATACCTAGTCTCTCGGAGACAAACGCTCTAACACGGAACGTCTCGTACCTCAATCGTACCTCGCGTATGACATACCTTTTTCTGCTTCCAGTTCGAATTCAATTGCAAATGTCCTCGTGAGCCTGACATTGTGTGATGAAAAATACGTGCTGAATTAACAGAAGCATTGGCCCGCAGGATAGGAACTATTTTGCTGCAAAGTCTTGCGAGCAATCACTAGATTGGTCTTCGGCCCGGTGAGTAGATCAATTGTTGATCGATGTACCGTAGTATTTCGATCAATTCGAACCCTAACGTGACGCATGACTTTTTTTTTTGGAGCGTTTAGGATAATGACACTCAGTCTGCAGAAGCATTCTAAGTTCACCCGCTTGGGTTACTGGTTGTGGGCCAGTTTCTGCCGGGGAAGTTGTCCAGGGAGGAAATGCTGTTACGCACGTTATTTAACCAGTGTGGGACTCCGACCCGAATATCTTATCCTATCCCATTTCTGTTGGGTCGCATGGCCACTAAAACCCCCTCGTGAGTCCAGTTGTCCGGCAGTGAGTCTTCGTTCATCAATAGCCCACTCCATGTTCTCAGAACTAGTTGGGTATTGAATGCGAGGGGACCGAATCTCGGCTTGTTCGTTAATAACCGGTCCCGTTCTAATATAGCATTCACCGCATTCAACCAGCGATTGTTGATCTCTGTCTCTGTTGGTAGTGAATCCGGATTTTCAATCACTCGTGTATGTCTTACGTTCCAAATTGAATGCCACGCTACCGACACTAAAATGGCAAAAAGTCTCGACTTCTCTGGGAGGGGTGCACCCTTAATGGACTTGAATCTCACAAGGTTACAACCGAGAATCAGCCCCCAGCTTAGTTTTGGCCAGTGGTTGTACTTTTTTGACCAGAGTTCTCGTGTCAAGTTCCAAATTATCGCTTGACCTGGGGCCATACACTCGAGAGTGATGTGTTCTAAGGTTTCAGGGACATTGCAGAAACGGCACTCGCCACATATTTCTGCATTGTTTATGTGGGTCCAAAAGTCTCCCACTCTGAAAGTGTTATGAATACACTTCCAGAAGAATTCCCGTGTCAGGCGTTGGAAAGTTGTCGACCTTATTGACTTCCAGATGGATGCATCAGTTGGGGTGTAGTTTGAGATCTCTTCAACCGAGCATCGTATTCGGTCGAGATTCGTAAATGTGGATTTTCGTTGGGTCGTTGCTCTCAATTTACGTATGACCTTCGTGAAGTACCGCTGTGAACCTTGACTTAGCAGAATCCCTGGATTTTTAAACATTAGGTCCACTTCTGTATCGAGTTCGACTGCGCGAGCTTGCTCATTTGTTAGATTTCTTGCTCTATTATCAGAGACTGTCATGAAACGAACTCTGGCTGTTCTTTCATTCAGCATAGCCAAGACGGACTTGAGAAGACGGTAATTGGGATCCAATATATTGTTTTCTGATTTGATTCTGTCCCGGATTAGTGCTCGTGGTAGGAATTCCGAAGACGAGCATACGAGAAGTGGTACATTATGTCGTGTATCCTGTAGAATGAGTAGCAAGCCTCCTAGGAGTGCTGAAGAGAAGGTTAACGGTATTTCACCATCATCGAATGTGAGGTTCATGTTCATATTTTCAAAATGGGCATTGGATTCTGTCGGCATAAACAATCTGATTGTTGGATTAAATTCTCCGGGATGTTGGATTTGTGCATGGATGAAGATTGTCACTTCATGTGGGGTCTCTCCGGCCAGTTTGACTCTCCGCGCTGGCATCTCATTGAGTGAGTCTTCAAAGGCAAAAATTCGGAAGCCGGAGTCAAGGTTAGACAGGCTAAAGTCCGGATCAAAGGTCTGAGCTGTGTCAAGCCTTATCGGCTGCCTATTCAATTCCAGCTCTTCGTCTGTCAGCGCTAGCTCACTACATAGATCCGGATTTTCTATGCTTGGATTCCATTTGCCAAAGATGCTGTCAATCAGAATCTTGGCTGTTTCAATGCATTCACCTGGATTGTCGCAGTTCAACTCAGTTCGGTCTCGACGACATGGTAAACAACCACAGTTTTTTCGACCGATTCCTGAGGGATTAACTTGGTGTGGTCTCCGGGGATTCAAAGTTTTGCGGGTCGCAATAGTGAGTGTATTCTCAACTGTCCGTACCTCATGGTTCAACCTCAGACATGTTGCAGCCGCTCGTCTGCAAGCCTTTTGATAACGCACTTTATTCATGGCGGGGTGTTTCCAAATTGGCATCTGTAACTTTACATCTTGGCTGATAGAATGTCCCGTGAACTTGAGCTTATACTTCTTGGTTGCAAGTACCATTCTTTTCAGATCTGTGGGCAGTGGGGTTCGGTGTGAAATTGGGATTTGAATGTCTTGTAAGAAAACATTCATGATTTGACCTGGGCGTATGTTCAAGTAACTCAGTTCTAAAAATTTGGCAAAGATGAAATCAACGAAATAACACCAGAGCGCACGTTGTGGTCCCTGAACGAGGTATGCTTGTAGGTTCCATAGGTCAATAGCTTCGTTTCGAGCAGGAATATCCAAGAGTTGTTTTCCACCTTCATCGGTATTCAAGGCCATAGTTGCATGCCCAACTCGGGCTTTTTTTCCATCCCAAAGAAAAGTATGCTCAGCCCGAACTAAGGTGTCCTCTATTTCCTTGGGCATACCGTGAACTCGTGTCAAATATTGAGTCCGTCCTCCAATGACCATATTTATGATGTGTCTCTTTCCTTCGAGAGTTGGTTTGGTCAATTTCCACCTCTCAAGATCACGGGAAATCTTTTCCAACACCGAGGGCCACGGTGTAGTGTAAGTCACATTGTTCCCAATCCATGCACCTAGCATGCGACAAGTCTGGCCGTCAGGCACTATTCGGATACTTTCTTT